ATGGATAGTTACCATTAAGCCTTAGTAGTCTGGGTCTTGCCTAAAATTGGTTATAGATTAATAAATTTACAAGAGTTTTGGTGATAATCTACAATATTAGATATTTTTTGTTACCAGTTGGTAATAATTTTCATCGGGGAATCTGTGAACAGCTAGAATATAGTAAGTTAATTGACGACGTCGTAAACATTTATGAAATTAGATAGATCACATATTTTTATTCGAAGGACTTGCAATAAATCTTGTCGTTTATTGTAAACAAATTCTCAATGCGGAAATGGAATGGAGAAATGGGAAAATGCAATGACAATCATACAAATAAACGAAAAAAATGGAATCAATATATGAGATGAAAATATGTAATAAAAGTTTGAACTATAAGTAATACTCTGTCTAATTTTGCATGAGTGAGCATATAAATAATGCACATCAAGTATTTAATGCATACAAAATAAAGAAAAGCAAGAAAAATATGCAAAAATTAATGTACGCAAATAGTATGGAAGGTATGTAAGTTCGTCGAGGCTGAAGCCGGGCAAAATGTAAGCATGTAAATAGGCTAGCCAACTTGAGCATTGGTCTTTCCCCGCACTTGTATTGTGACGGGTGTCTCCGACTCGTCAAAGGATGTCTCGTTTCTTACGCCTCTATCATAAACCCAACACTCGTTCGTCAACCGAGTCAGTTTGGTTGGTCGCATCAAGAACTCGTAGCTGGGTTTCCATTGACATTTAAATCATCGGCATTCTTACATAGCTTTATCAATAACTATTTGTGTAGGTTTAAATGTACAGAGTTTAGCGGTGTCTCTTGAATAAATTATATGATGTGCAGAAGGAAAATCAAGATTACCCAAATGGAGTTTCTGAATTGAAACAAACTGGAGAAATTATTGAATATGTCGATTATTTATCTTGGACAATCAAGTCCGCTTAATTTGTCGATGGTTATAAGTCCAGTTTCTGTGATTCCGTCTTTACTGCAGATGCATGTTTAATGGTTTCTCTGTATAGGTTGCAAATCAAATTATATAGTGTCGTATTAGTTTAATTCGACAATCGACCTCCATTATATTTATACATCCATAAGGTTACGGATAATTCGCAATAAATCGACTTATCAATATAATGGATTTCCTGGTATTATCGATTTTGAGCATAGTTATCCAATCCATCTAAAATAAACGAGTACCCACTAAAATCCTTCATTCTGTCAAAAATCTTGACAGGCGAGGGAATAATACTAGCAGAAAATGCTGATCTCCTCTATCGTGCCGGAAACTGTATATCAACTAAATTTCATTTCATTTTTTATCAAAGCCCCGATTTCCGTTTGCAAGTCATCGACTATCCGCAACAATCAGAAACATTTAAATTTCTTCCATTACAAATTAACTTGTCCCCGGAAGCATAAAACACTAATGACATACTTACGAAAAAACCGGAAATTTCTACCCCTCCTAATCTACACAATTTTCCTCCTTTTCAACGGAATTCATGCAGCTTCCCTGTCTCACGTGGATATCAATGTGAAAATCTCATCCACAATATTTTCCATAATTTTCCCAATTGCCGTTTTCTTCGTAATTATTCCTTGGTTTTACAATCCCTCAGATTTTGTCCGGCTTCTAAACATGTTTCTGGTTTATGAAAGCAACTCAGATGTTGCCAAATCTGATTCAGTCAAATTCTGGAAAACCATACTAAAATATTTTTTATGGATTTTCGGATTTGGATTTTCCCTAATCGCACCGCTGGGCATGGGATGCCTCAATGTGATTGAATTGCACCGGCCGCCCTTCTTGGGATCAGTTCTCCCTTTCATGGAAATTTCAAAAATTTCAGAGACAGGAATCCTCATCTGTTTTCTACACTTGTTCTCTATATTGTTTCAAGTTTGGCAATACTATTTGATGTTCCTGTCATATTTTTTGATTATGGGAAATATATTTGTTCCATCAATATTGTCTATGGGCGTTTATCTTGGAGAAATTCTAAGGTAATTGTATACAAATTTATGTAGTTAACTGTACATAAATTATATGTAGCATGTTAAAATCCGGTGAATTATACATTCTGCCTAAGATACATTAGCTCAGCTAATGTACCTTCTTCACTCATTCATAATTTGTAAAAAATATTCATTAATTATTCAAAATTTATTCGTTATTCACAACTCCTTCATTATTCATTTTATTAAAAATGAACTGCATTAGATTAATTTCTCAACTTTCCCTATATTTTAAGCATTGAGTTAGAAATGAATGATGAAATAATTTCATTCACACGAATTGAATAGATATTCACTCAAGATTCATTTAAATATGTATTCAAAAATCAGAATAAAATATTCATTCAATATGCATTCAATATGTGAATATTTAATGAATAATTTATTCATAAATTAAATATGAGTGAATGTTATTAAATGAATGAATGTGAACATGTATGTTGATTAGTTGCACTGTAAAAGAAAATGCATTTGCAAAGAACTAAACTGATTTCAATTTTTTAGACGGATCCGTAAAATGGATTGCTACTCATCCCACAAAATTATCCTCTTAACGAAGCAACTACAGGAATTGAGACACCTAAAAATCATAGAATCACAAATTAATGCCACTTTCCGAAAGAGAATACTACCCACGGCATTTTTCCAGTTCTGCTTTGCCAATGTTGTGACAACCTACCTCTGCATATCGTATCGCTCCACATTGTTCCAACACTTGGGTCATCTCACCTTCTTGGCAATGTGTGTGGAGTCCTTCGTAGGAATTTTGTGTCTTGGAACGCTGTCCGGAATGGTGAACAAAAGGTCAAAACTAATCCAAATAAAATTGAGAAAACATTGCAGTAAACTGTGTAAATTTAAGGACCAAGGAGTAGTTTGTAAACAAATTATGGCCTTTGCCCCAATGAAGATAAGATTTGCGAGTAATTTCGTCAGTATTTTGACTCCGTTGGTAATGATGAATTTCTGTTTAAGATTGACTGTTAGACTATTCTTGTTGCAATAGATTCGTGGCTACGGCAGTATATTAGAATATTAATTAAATTTAACCTAGATACATAGACCGGTCATTCCTCATGTACAAGGTTTTTTTCGAATTTCGAAATTGATACTTAAGATGTTAGTAAAGCATTGCATAAATATTGTAACATTTTGACAATTTTAAACCAGATTATTCATAACCTGTCGTACATTAAGGAACAACTTGTGTCACGTGGTAAATCGTATTTGTTTAATTAAAATATATCTTTCAGACCAATCCGTGCAATTATTATCCGTGCAATTATTAATTATGCAATTATGCAATTAGAACAAAACTAATAAAATTAATGAACGTGTTAAATATTTGTCTTGGATAATCAAGCTATGTAGCTTACATTATTCTCTGATATGAATTTAATTTGTGTGATTCCTTGTTCAGATACATATTTAATGGTCCACTTGATTTCAAGTGCACACATAACGGCATAATTCTTAATTGAGATAGGACTTATAAATATAAATGATTTACTGATATTATCGATTTCTACGGCAATTAATACTTTCTCGAAATAAATAGATATCAAGTTGGCATGAATTGAATAAATTGGTATGAAGTTGAGTAATTCATCATTTGACAAAAAATTGTAGAGTGTGAACCGATTACTAAAGAATTTTTATTGGCGCCTTTATTTAATATATTTAATAAGTGTCAAGTTTCAAACTGAATCAGAAATAATTATGCATCGCTATACATAAATAAATATGTTCTGAGAGGGCTTTTATGAAACAATGTTACAATATTTATGGGGTACGTGATTCTCAGCCCACACAACTTATCGTGTCCATGCACACATATCACACAATTTTATAAAGTAAGAACCATAGTAGTAAATGATATTATATTAATTTGTATCCTAATAATTATTACATATGTACATAGCAACAATGTACTTAATTTATTAATTTACCATATAAGTTGTACATACATACATACTAATATACATACATATAAGTAACTTATATGTAAAAACTTATATGATATAAGTTTTTACCAATTTTTATTAAGAATCGTGGTCTCTAATTCAAGTAAAATTGTCCAAATAGAATTGGAAAATCACCCTTGTACATATTTCTTTCTCATATTCATTTTTGGTACATTTTAGAAACCGTTTTCATGTACAAAACTACTTAATTCCAACACTATGATGATGTGAGCATACAATTACATTAATTCCACGATTTATCCATCTCATGCAAAAAAACGAGTCTCGTTCTGAGAAGCCCATTAATAGATATTAGAGAAATAAAATGCATACAAAAATGTCCTTCACTCCGTTACCCGGGTAGTAAAGGGGGCGATCGATTCCTTGGAATTTTCCCGTGTATGCATTGCACTTAAGAGCTCCTGTTGCTAGAGTTACGCGTTCCCGACATTCTGGAGCCAACGAGAGCAAAACAACGCAAAAATATACTTTTCCAGCTGCAAACGCATACTATGATAATACGGAATTGCATTTGATCCTCATAATTATATTTTTACGACTACGTAGAGAAACAAACCGCGAATAAAATTCTGTGCCGTATTTCAAACAAAACGACGGAGGAATCACCATGATCTGTAAAACAGGAATAATGATATTTTGTTTGGCTGTCTTTTCCACTGATGTCGTATTCTCCAGAGTTGTCTTCGTTTCCAAGAAGGGTTTGCCCTAGTTCACGCGGCGAACCCAACTGCCATTTGAGATTTGGAGGTGCCAGAAAGGGTTCGCGGAAAGTGCATAAGGAAAAACGCATCGATAGAGGGTTCATTTTTCCCCCTTAATCGGTAGTATTCACGCAGCGCGTGGTGGCCGCTGCACGGCACAGCAATGTGTGCTTCGCCCCACGACGGTGGTGCACCACCGTGTCTCACCCCCACCACCACCAATCCCCACATATCCTGGCATCAAAAAATTACTTTGAAGTCACATAGGTGGCGTGGGCACCCCAATTTGAGCATATTCTCTCGAATGTCGGAATCGCGTCTCCCCAAATTTGATGCTCTAAATGGCGGTGCCGACGCCACCTATGTGACTTCAACATCATTTTTGACGCCAGGACCTGTGGGGATTGGTGGCGGTGGCGGTGAGAGTTGCAGCCACCACGTTTGGCAGCTGGCACGAAATCGTGTGTGCTCCCAAAATCTCACTTTTTCATCTGTTTTGCGGTGGCTTTTTTTCAAATACACTTTCCAGGAACTCTAACTGGTTCAGTTAGAGTCCTCGCAGGAACTAGGTTTGCCCGATCTCGTGCAAAACTATCTCTTCGTGTTCGTCGCAAATTGTAAGTTATTTAACTCAATTTTCATGAAAAAGGTTATGTACAAATAATAAAACATTGCATTAATTAAGTTCAGTTAAATTTAAGACGGCAGTTAAAACCATTACCAAAGATATAATAATTTATTGATACATACTTTATTTTTATTTTATTTTATTTTATTTACTCCACTTTTGCTCAAACGTAATTAACAGAGTACGAATAAATATGTTCTTAAAACCCCAGAAATATTTATGTAAAATATTTAATCAAATTGCCAAAATATTCATATATGTAAGACGTTTTTTAATTCATTTTAAATTGCTTCAAATTTAAATTATTTGATTCAAGAACATGTATTTTTGAAAAAAAATCCCTGAAATAAGTAAAAACATATATAAATAGGTATGTGTATCCAAAAATATATATTTTTGGCAAAATCCGCGAAATATCTTGGGGAACTGCAACCCCCTCTATCAACACGTACGATCAGTGCGTCTACTTTTTCGAAGGGCCGGGTTGTGACTCCACTAAAAAACGGTTTCGACTAGACATTGAGGAGTCAAGTGATCACTGGGACATCACAGACCTCAAGCCAGTCGGAGGGTTTCAATCGATAGAATTGTGCGAAAAAGATGACATCGGTTTTGCGTCGGGAGGATGTAAAATGCCTATTAATCTGGCTACGATAGGGATAATTATTATTTCAAAGTATACAGTCTACCTGTTTGATGCATATGGTTCATCTATTTAAGACGCATCACTTTCCTGTTAATTTTCCTGTCGATGTGTGTGGATGTTAAACTTCGAATTTTCTGTCTATACTAGACTCCTGTGGGCAACAAATTCATATTTCAGTTCACCGTAAAGTTTTTGAATAGCTAATTGACTCTTTATAATTTTGGAATTGCAGTTAGTTCTTTTTAGAATTTTTTTGTGTAGTTAGGTCTTTATAAAATTAAACATCCACTACACCTCGGTCTTTTTAGAATTAGTGCGACGATATGGAAGATTGGCAATGACAAATAAGTGTATGTACCCAGCAGCACCCATTTTTTATGTTGTTTCTTATTTTCCGGGGGAGGGGGCGGACAGGCAAGACACCCTGCGCGCTGACGACCCTTGACACATACACCCACTTCAGGGGATCAAAGCGGTGTAAATCACTATGTATCTTCAATGAAATCCAAGCTAAAAATCATAAGTTGATCTGTTTTTAGTACATTATTGTACCCTCCATATCGTTGGTACATAATATACGTTTGTACGAGACCAAGGCATAATAAGTTTATTTTTTCAAATATAGTTGAAAATTTTCTGACCTACGCTTATTCGGCAGATGTAGATTACCAACTTCAGTAAAGCTGTCTGTAAAAACAATTCGTCGAAATAATAATTTACTTACATACTTATACATATATAAGTATAAATCTATAGATTTACATATTATAACATAAAATGGTAGAAGTTAACACTTAAAATAAAAAGGAGGTTTGTAATGAAATATGTATGCATTGAATATTCAAAACAAATATTTCAACAATTTCTAGATAGATTTATTAGTATTTACAATTTCTATTTAGTATACACTGCACCGTGCTAGGTAACCTACATAGTCGCCAAGTCGCCGGATGAAAACTCTTGCGATTGCTAAAACCCTCATGATAACCAACTTGCACTCAACCAATAAACTTACGACTGCCACAGCGATAACCGTTGCACATAAACCGAAAACATAAAACAATGCGGGAAACGCTTCCCCTTCAGAATTATACATTTGGACGTTTGACTCCCTAAAATTGGAAGTGAATTTTAAAAATAATTTTCTCGAAAACCCTTCACCCAACTCATGCACGAAAAGTAATTTTATCCTCATAGTTTCGAGTAGTTCCCATCGCCCGTAAATGCCCGATCCCATCAATCTCGCAAATACTGTCGCGATTGTTGTAGAAATATAGTTATGGCTGGAATCTGTAAAAGTGTTGAACTGGAATGGGGCATTTTGCAAGTTGTCGATAACTAACCGCTTTCCAAGGGTTTTTATTAACGCGGTGAATGTGACAAGATCGCTGGCTTGGTCCACAATTGCAAACGTGTCGCTTGTCCGAAATTCGGAATTATTTGAACGGATAATTCCAGAGTTTGAAATTATACGAGCAAACTCAACCCAATCGTTCTTGAAAGGAGGAATGTAGACCATCCGTTGTATAAAGTTTGACAGATATGAGCCAAATTTATTGTCACCGCTGGTCCTAATCGAGTGAAGGAGTGGCAATAGGAGAAATTTTATAAACGACTTATGCTCACCCGATGGGCTTGAAATTGTGCTTGACGTAATTATTGTAAGATTAGATTTTGCTAAACCTTCGAAGCTTTTGGGAACTGCGGGAAAGGGCGTAACCGTCAAGTCGGACGTGATTGATCCCTGATACAAATTTTCCATGAGGACGTAGCCTCCGAAAAACCAGACGGCCAGGATCGGAACAGCTTTTCTCTGCTTTTGCAGCGATTTCACGATATCTCCGCCATTTTGATTGAGCAAGATTGATATAAATGTTATTAAATCACGGACGAATATTACGCCATATTCTGCCTTGTTATTAGGGAGATTGTAAATAAATTGAATGACAAGAGTTATTACAACACAAAAAGTCAACATTAATGTCCACGTTGAGGCATCGAATGGGGTAAAAACGTTTCCAAAGCTACTCTCTGCTCGAGGAAATTTGGTGACTACAGAAAACCCAAACTTGCCAAAATCTAAATTGAGAAATACAAAGTCTCCAACATTATGATACCACTCTATCGTACTAGCGAGTAAGATTTTACGGAAAGCGATTTTAGCGTCGTAGGTTTCGTGTTTAGAGACATATTTCATTAATCGTCTACTGTCTACTGTGGTGAAATTAAGTTGCGTTCCTATCGTATAACTCAAGCAATGTATTAAAAACTCTGCGGCGGGGAATTTGCTTAGGCTCGGGCCACAAAAAGCTGGTTTGCGAAAATGACCATAAACTTAATACTCAAGAAATGCCCTTGCATGTTGATTTCGTTTTGTTAGTGCCAAATTGAGTTCACCAGATCTAAAGAGAAACTGTGTCCATTGATAAAGATAAAATTGCGACAGGGAAAGCAGGGAATGAAAATGCCATATTCGCCTAAAAATATTATCTTGGAAGTCGTAATTACACGTGTAAGGTTATTGTCGTAGTGTAATGAGTGAGACGTGAATACCAAGATATAATCCGTTTTTAGGTTGGGATAAACATTGGAGAATAATAATGACATGTTTGAAATTAATAATATTTCTGAGCGGGGAGATCGTTTAACATGGTTTTGATTTTGCAAAATGAAAATATTACTTGTGGGAGGATTACAATTTTGTATTGTTTTAGGACTGTGAAGGTACGAAAGGGATAAAAGATCTCTTAGTCTATGTTCCCAATTATGTTCCGCGTTGTCCAGGATGACATGGAAATCAAACATGCCGTCGGCTAGGGTGTTCCTCATTCCTATAATGAATATAGTAAGTAATGTCCAGAAGGGATACATTTTGAAATTAGGCAGATAGATAAACACAATTTTTGGACAGCTAGATAAACGCAAGTTTTGTTCAGGTTGATAAGTTGAATTCTTTTAATTGTCGATTTTTTTTCTATATGAGTCGAATGCGACTTATGTTAGTTTACTTCAGACCAACCCGAGAAAACCTACGCAAATAAATTTAGGATGAGATTACTGGATAAAATTTTCACTCCCGGTAGTAGCACTTTGCCACATAGTGAAAATTGTTTAGACTTTACCTCCGAGCAACATATTTATTATGTATAAGTACTGTAAGGTTTGAAATACATATTTATACTTATTATTACTGTAGAAGAGTATGTAATTCGGATCGTATATGGAGAAGACACAATTTTTATATATTAGCAGATTTATTAGACTGCTTATGGGTGGACTAGGAATATAAATACACTCCCTGGTCTTATATACGTAGAAACTAATTAATTTTTCATATCCATGTTGGTAGAAAAACTGGTAAATTGCGAGGAAAGTAGGCGTTAACTAATCATTCAAAAGTATACGTTTCGTGATAACCACTAAACGCGAATTCAAACCATTTTACCATTTGCGTGTGATGGTGTGATGTAGTGAAATTTAATCATGCAAAAAATAACATACTATAAACTAAATCTTAAAAAATAGCTTAGGTGAGACTGCAGGAGGAAAACAAGTTGTTGCTAAACAATATGTTAGGTCCCTATTAATCTCACGGTTGACGGTGTATAATTTTAGGTAAATAACCCAATAATAATATATATTTGGAATAATTTAGCCCCACAATCAATTGTTCGTTCGAAATATACGTTTTCGATGGTTATACTACGTATGCAAATTTTGAAAATTTATAAGGAACACTAATATAGCTCAAGAATTTACTTTGGTCAGACTTCTAAAATCCAGTTGTCTGAAACGTGGTGTTTTGTATTAGAAATTAGCGAACCCATATTGATTGATTCATCATCACCAATCGACTACAGATTGTATACAGATTTTATATAATAACGTTTCGCCGTAACCATGTAATTTTCTTTCATCTAAGAAAAACAATTGTCCTCGCGAGAACTGCGGCGCTTACTGTTTGTAATATTTACCCTAGTTTAGTCCTTGGCGTGTTAATGTCTAGATGTATCATCCATTTATTTATTATTCATAAATATGCTGAAATAGTGCGATGTAACGACGGATATAAATTTTCCATGGTATGTTTTCTACCAAGTAAAAAGATTACACGTGCATATTTCATTAAAATAGGCACGCGAAGAAAGTTCCTATTTATAACTTGGTCGTACTTGTAGATATCTAAATATTTGTAACCTTTAAAATTTTAAAATTTTCACTGTTAAACATAAGTCTTAAAAACCAATGTGATTAAGTTTTTGTTCATGCAAATACTCAAAGTTACGCTGATCAAATGATTTATGGATCCTTAAAACTTTTGAGCATTGTATTTATGAGGCATAAATTATGACTTGCGTAAGCTTTCCTCTAAAGGGGCATTCATAATGAATTTTTGAAACATTGGTCATTGAGCATCATTCTCTAGACACAATAATTTTGCTCCATTCCATTTATCATGGATGGACGGTTATGCTATTCGTATATTTTATTCTCGATTTGTTGTACATACATAAGCATATTATGTATGTGAACATATCATAATTTGTCACATTGAGATTTTGGTGGAGGTGGGGGTGTAATTATAAATGCCGCTTTTTTACCCAATGTCGGACAAAATATTACACAACCGTGTAGAAACTTTCTTTAGAGTGTATAGTAAATTCGACACGTCAGAAATTTGCACTTAATATTATTGATCACCGTATTACCTGTTTATTCTAAATTTTTTAAATTCACATAAAACATATACAACGTTAAATTGTGATTTGCATATCATCTTCTCGTAATAATTAGTTATCGTCCTAGTCCATAAGCCATCAGGAAAATATGTATGAAAAAACGAAACAACAGAGAAATTGGGTTCGCTAATTTTAGAATATTTAACCTTAAAAAATTACCCAAAATAGCATTGGGAATCATTATTGCAAATATTCGTATTAATTTATGGTTAGTCATTATACATGAATGCAGGAACAACAGTTCATCACCACGTTATTTGCCGTCTTTGTTGTTGGAGAATGTGTTTAAAAACATTGTTAAGCCTATATAGGATTAATGCAATTCTTGGTTTAGATTAGCTGCATGTACTTAATTGAGAAACAAAATATAATCAGAAAGCTACACGTGGAGGACAAATTTCCCATTTTCTATATCAATTTTGTCCTCCAAAATGAAATTTGGTTTGCAGCTGGTAAATAAATAGTCAAATAAAATTGGTTCCGTGCCTGGATAAACAACTGCGATATCCGTCTCAAAACTATTTATGAACGTACATCCTCCAACTGACCAGTTTTTCTATACTAAATAATTCTCATTATTTCAAGATCAATCGAAATTTCCTAGCTCAAATTTCCTGTTTCCTGATATTATTTGGTGTTTGTAAGCGTACGAAATCATGAAATATGTTCTTATCACATTTCGTTTCATTTTTATTTCCTCAGTATCTTGTGGATCACATTTTTCTACAAGATTAGCACAAATCCAGCGAGAAGTTGATGTTGATTCGACTTGCTTGTCTACTCTATGGGGTCAAGATTTCAGTGAGGTTGATACCCCTAAAAACTACCAGGTTCAAATTATCTCAAGTCCCCAATCCCGGCCTACCTTCTTAACAACCAAATTTCTTCAAAAATATGGTACAATCTGCAATTTTATCCGATACAAACGCGTAACAGCTGCCCTATCGAGGAGAAATAGGCCTTGGAACTTTGTCCAGTTTAACAGCAGGAGTTCCAACTATCATCTCGTTATTTGTTCGAATTTCCAAGAAGCTAAATCATACCCGTTTTCTGGTTATGCAAATATTCTCTTTGTCATCTCAGGAGTAGGCGGGGAATTCAAGATTTATGATCTTGATGTGTATGGGGAAAACTTTTTAGAGCTCAGTAGGGCTAGTAGCTACTTTCGTAAACGGTCAGACTTTCGTGGTCATCAGCTCAAATGGGGTTATCCGTGGGCGGGGAGGAATGTTATTACGGAGGAGGCAATTCGATCCTTCAGGTAAGTTTTTGATTCCTTCTAAGGTAAATCACAGGATTTAATTATAAAAGACGTATCTTCACGCATAATTTGTAATTGAAATAAGATAAACTTCAAACTAAAATTAAAATTGCACAGCTAAAAGATAAAGTACTGGCTGTGGTTTAGTACAACTTGTCGATATGGGGTGATATGATACATCAATGTTTAGCTTGACAGCTCGAAATCTCATCTTACCCCAAAAATCTCACGATACTCCAAAAAACTTCCCGCTTTGGGGTAAAGTGAAACAAAGTCTTAAAATTCTCTGAAACGTCCAAAAATCCAATAAAAATTTCAAGCTTTGTCCCGCCATAACCTTTGAACGGGCGTGTCCGCGCTTTCGCGCTTGGATATTCTTGTTCCGCTCGTTAAACTGAACAATTCGACGTATCACATGACCCCATATCGAAAAGTTTTTGTTCTAAACTTTCCAAGGTACTGCTTTAATCTAATAAAAATATAACAAATTGATATAGAGACAAAATGCTATTTTTCAAGGGAAGGCCCATCTCCTCCAAACAGTTATGTTGCTGCTGTCATGGCCTTTACCAAATATTTAAATGCAACCTTAGCCCCATCTCGATTTTATCGTATCCACGGAGTTCCAGATCCCACCACCAAATCATTCAACGGATTGTACGGCGGCCTTGAAAGCGGTGAGGTTCACATCGCCTTGTGGATGCTTAACCAAGGCTTTTACGAAGAAATCTTGTCCACCACGTCTGACGGAATTCAGGACGGTCTCGTATTTTTTACAAGTCTCAAAAAGAACTTGGGCAATGCCGACCCCATCGTGACACTATTTGAACAGCTCGACCTCACCATAATAGCCTATCACGTGGGCTGCATAGCCCTAATTGTGGTTACCATTGTGATCGCAAAACCGCGGGAGAAATGGATCCAGGCAGAGATTTGGTTCTCCACGTTGGCCGGGATTTGTCGCCTAATTCCTCAACAGAACATTAACCAGGAAATTGAAAAGTATTTAATTAGATATATGTATGTATAAAGTGGTTTAAATGTTAGGTTACAATGGAAAATTTTTCAATAGGTAAAATTCGTAAATTTCCATTAGTTACGGATTTAGGATTGAGATTTTTACTAATTTTTAACAAAACGCATGAAACACTGCCTATGACAAAATTCTTAAAATATTGAATTTCAGAGGCAAAATTTCGCTAACTAATGGAGATTTGCGAATTTTTTCCATTGAAAAATTTTCCATTGAGACCTGACATTTAAACCACCTTGTATACAAGTTGTTACCAGGTGATTAACAAAAATGTAACCAAATATTCTAAAACCTTGACCTTTTAGGCAATTAGCTCACGGAAAGATAAAGCTCGTCCTCGGACCGTGGCTTCTCTCCTTGATTCTTTTAAGCTCCGACATGCAATCTGTCATCGTTTCCTCCTTGTCCACCACTGACTTTGCCTTTGCCCCGAGGTCATTTGAAGAATTGGTTTCGTCCAAATTTAAAATCTCCTTTTTCGGAAATGACACCGTGGCGGACAAAGCAATACGAAACCTTGCTCGGGAGGAAGGGAGGGAATCTTTTTTTGGGAAAATTTCAGCCAAAATTGAGTCAACTTATAATTATGTAGATGTCTATCTTCAGGTTAGTGGAATAGATTTTTTTTATTGCACCCAAATTCAAAGAATGGGTGCTCGTAAAAGTGAAACCTTGCTTACTCTTTATTCTCTTTTTAAGCCATCCTGTAATGGCGAGCATAAATACTTTGTAATTAATTGCTAGTACATATGTGAAAAGCGACGTTTTAGCTTTTTAGATCTGATTAACACCGCAAAGGATCAGATTACAGAAGAAATTTATTTATAATCTTTGGAGGTGGGCAAGCTTAAAGTTTTCGGAGATCGAGATAAAAGATCAAAATCAGTTTTTGTGTCCCATAAGATATTGATGAAGATAAATCTGCCAAAGACTAAAGACAAAAGCTTAAGATCAAATACCAGATCAAGATCATAAGATCAAATAAATTGCAGCTACATATATACTTATCTTGATTTTTTATTTTGATCTGGTATCTGAGATAATGATCTTGCCCACCTCTGACAATCTTTCATCTTGTCATAAAAAATATTTATTAAATATTTGCATATGAGATCTTTATTTTTTTTACTCTCAGAGGAATTGTTTCTCGAGAATGAGGATATGGGGAATTGTTTGTATGGGAACGATGCAACCCGGCTTGCAGAATGCGTATCAATCCTTAGTTTCAAAATCTGGCGAGATCTTATTTCTCCAATCTACCGATGTCGTGTTTCCAGTTATCACAGTGTTGCACTTTTCCAAGCTCATGGATCACTTACAAGGTAAAATATGAAATTTGCTTTACTAATTACTTTCTCTTGGAAGTGTTATTGTAATTTCACCGATTGGGTAATATTCACACATGTTTACATTCATTCATTTAATGATAAATGAATCAATTATTCGTTCAATAAATATTAAAAAATTGAATGAATATTTTATTCTGATTTTTTAATAAATGAATATTGAATGAATATCTATTCAATTTATGTGAATGAATAATGAATGAATATTTTTTATCATTAATTTGTTGCTCAATGCTTAATACATAGGGAAAGTTTAGAAATTAATCTAATGCTGTCAATTTTGAATAATGAATTAATGGTGAATAATTAATAAATGTTGAATAATTAATGAATATTGTTTTTACAAATTATGAATGAGTGTATAAGAAATAAATATATTTTACAAGCTATGAATGAATTAACTTTGAATGAACAAATATATTTTGAACACGTATGATTATAATCAGGTATAACAGACAGGTCGGGCCTGCTCAGGCAAGCTTATAATCAGGCAGCTCGACATGTCTAATTTGTTACCAGCCCTTGCTAAATTTCTAAATCTACAAATTTTTGAATAAATAAATTTCGGTCAAAATGTATTTTTCTAATAGTTACATTGGACAGAGGTGTTCGATCCTATGTGGGAGCTGGCATCCTTCGGAGATGGTTTTCATGGGAAAATAACAGAATTAAGGGTCAGCGCAATGCTAAGGCAGGATTGAACCCACACTTAACCAAGCAATATGAAACTGCTCCTGACCAGTCGTCAACATTGAGCTATTTTTTAATTGTCTGTGCCGGAAATGGAATTGCTCTCCTTATCTTCCTTTGGGAAGTTGGTAAAGTACGTATTTGTAAACTCGTCGATCCCCCATAATTTATTTATTTAATTCATGATAAACAAACTTACCAATTTATTACCAAGTACATTTGTTCAGTACCTAGTTCATGGCCAATAATATTAATTAATACATAGATAATAATTGTCAATCAGCCACAATTTGACTCATTATTCGGGATAGTTCTTTCGTAATCTAATTTTAATTGGGGAATACACTCTAAATAAAATCATTACCAAATCATTACCAAAATGCACACTTATATGACTCTGCAGAAACGGTAATAATAACCACCGGCTGGTAAAGAAATTGATTGAACCCGAAGTGGTAATAAAGAACACTTTTCGGGATAAAATGAATATCATGATGTTTGACAGATGTACTACAATATGTAGTAAAATGTCTACCGCCCGGTAATAAACCGTACCACTTTGTACACGGTGTGCTATTCATACCGGTATTAATGCTTTGTTTTAGTATACCCCATTGTTACCAAATCTTGTGCAGATTTCCACCGAAAAGAATAATTTTTTTGCTTTTCTTTACAATAATCTTTCAATCAATTATATTTATTTGAAAATAATTTTGAAACATACTTACATAGTTATAAAATTTAAGTATAATGCAAACTATCTAGTTACCACATACATACACATATATACATATTTACCTGAAACTTAAATCGAACTAAATATTTCAGAGTTTTTGCCGTACACTTATATAATTACCGACTGTTTTACAATTTTGCATTATCTCAAAGCAAACGAATGCATATGTATATCAATCTTACGCGTTAGCAATACTAAACATTGGATCCGAGTATTTAACTTTAAATAAACATTAATGTCGATCTCATCCCCCTGGTCACTGGTCGTCTTGCAGAAAAATCTCTGCTCCGATTTCCAACTCAAATTATTGTTTCACTGAAAAAATAAACGCATAAAATTGTTATTAACTCTTTCCTATTATGATGGTTTTCGATCATCATCTTAATAAGGCGCCTACATATGATAATTTGATACTTACCTATTTCCAAAAATGTAATTTCCAGAAGTTTTTATCAGTTTTTTCCCACGGGCAACACTGGACACTGGATAATTTCGCCATGTTGACTTGATTTGAGCTGAGCGGAAACTAAAACTGACAAATGCGCCACTGTTTAGCGTCTCGCAATTAACACCAAATGTATTAAAATTCTTACCTCCATGGTAATAAACTACACCGAAATGTAGATCTCATTAGCACCACAACGGAAACAATTTGTTCTGCACTTTACTAAAATTATGGTAAAGAGTGTTATCTAAATTTGTAGGATATAATTACCGGCTCGTAGGAGTTTATTACCAAAATTATAAAGATAACTTAGAACATTGCGGTGGAGGGCCAGTTACCCGTTTGGTATTGATACGGTAATAACCCCGTATAATTTTTGTAGGACGCGTAATTACCAAGAGCTCGGTAAAGACGCTTATTAAGAATTATTTACCAAGTTGCTAAGAGTGTAGGCCTTGAAATATAATTTGTCATATAAGCATATAAACGAGTTCCACTAAATCAATAAATTACAACGTCAATTAAAATGAATTCACGACATACCTTTTTTACCATTTCCAGATAAATTACTGTAATAAAACATATATGTAGAAATTATGTAAGGACAGATAATCGATACAATAATTTGCTAATGCAGCACATGTTTTGTCCTAATCCATCAAGTTAATCTCTCTCACTTCTTGGAAAACATCTCATAAATTAACACAAAATTGCCAGTTGTTCACTCTAATTACTTAATTGCCATTGCAAGGTGAAGCATGTTAATATAAAAATTTAAATATTTACGACATTTTTTAATTCTCTTCCACGACCTCCTACTCACCTGAGCTCAGCAGGCTCTACGGAACAAAATGCACATCGCATCTTATCTTTTCCTTCTTCTCTTATCCACCCCATTACTTATCGCGGGTGCCAATGAGTACTACAATTTTACCCGGGTAACATTTACATATAAATATTACTGAAATAGTCAACTTCTTATACGCTTGTTCCAACCAATTATTTTAGGACCAACGATCCCTGATCGGATATGTGTGGGAAGGTGGGATCATTCCCTACGAATTCAAACCCGATTTCCCATCCCGGGATAGAGCAATGTTTGTCCAAACCGCGCGCTTCATTGAGCAACGGACCTGCATTCAATTCCGCGAGAAATTGGCGAGTGATAGATTTTGGTTAATTTTGGTTCTCGGCGGGTGTTGCGGAACACACGGGGGACGACGGCCGTAAGAATTAATTTTAATTGCGACTAATTAATTACACAACTAACGTGTTCCATCTCCTCTAGCGAATTAGAGGGAAAAGGTCAAGAAGCCACGTTCAGCAGCGGTCTCCCCATGCCGTTCTACCTACACGAACTTGGACACACCTTTGGCTTCCCGCACGAGCAGGACCGACCCGACTGGCCTGAGTATGCCTGGTGGGACGACAATAAGCAGGATACGTGTAAAGGTGGAGAAGGGGGAAAGGTGAGACTAATCGTTGAAAGTAATTAAACTTATACCTCTACTTCCGGGTGAAAAATTAACGGGATTTTATGCAGAAATTTGGGTGGATTTTATGCAGAAAAATTTATGCGGGAACAATTTGTCCACAAAATATGCAGAATTATGCATAATTATCCTAAACTTTTCTGCAGATTTTACCTGTGAGAAGTTTTATGCAGAATCGTTCATAGTTTTTCTGCATATTAAAAAATTTTCTTTCTGCATGAACCATTGTTTCGGCCACTTTTCTAGAATTATATCAAATTCGATAAAGGATTTTCACCCGGGTTTCTTCAATTCCAGGCAAAAGTTGAACAAGCCGCGCTCGATATCCCCTTCGATTACGTCAGCCTAATGGCCGACTGGACAGAATGTTGGTGGCCGAAACCCCCCACTCCAAAAAATATTCCGCTCGGTGGTGGTGGAAGTGATGATAGGACCTACAGTGTCTTGGATATAGAGCGCATCAACGCGGTGCACGGTTGCGGGAGTGAGTTTCAACGATTTTTTGGGGACATTACGAGATTTACGTAACGTTTCATTACATTTCTCCCCGCAGAATGTTATGGATATCGCTTCCGGAAAATTACACAACTTTCCTATAACCAACGCCCTGTCCAGGCCGGATATGAACTTGACAAAAAAATATTTTACATTTGCCGTGTCTACCATGAGGGTCACCTCCTGATTGGAAAATCCCGCCCGGACGACGACAAATGTTGGGTTGGTTGGGACAATGGGGAGACCGAGTATAAGGAAAGGTTCTCGGTTTTGACGAACCCGGGAAATGAGGCGAATTTTAGGTGGATCCGGTCAACCGGAAGTATTCCAAGTGGGGCGATTAAAGGAGGGAGAACCAAGGACAGGGAAACAATTTATGTTGGAAGGTGTAAGATAAATGTGGACAATAGGGATACACTTATTCCCGGCTTCTATCTGGAAAGTAAACCTGGCGAATTACGAGTTCCGTTTGGTGGTGGGGTACGGAGATGTAATGATTTTGAGGCCTTGGTGTGCCAATAAGTCAAGAATTTTTGGCGATATGTGTAAAATAGATTGGAACAATCTAAAAATTTCTTATTCGATTATATCGATAAAGAGACAATTGAAAGATGTATTTTTGTGCAACCAATTTTTTTATTCAATCAATAACACAGCATAATACACTTAAACATGGTGAAAACAATTAATTGTCATTGACGATAATTGTCAATTACAGCATTTAATCCAATTGAATATTTGACAATAAAATAAATCATTCATAATTTGCGAGCCTCGGTTACACAAGTTCTTACATTTTTTATAATTTCTATTTTTGATGCATGAATCAGTTTCTCATATTGTATAGCCATATCTTATCTTAAGAGTAGTAGTGAAGTTGTCTGCTGAACACAAAATTCTTGTACCACCAACGGCGTTAAAGCTTCTACGAAGTTCATGCCAAACTGAATCCTAAGCGAGACCAGAGACTTTAGTGTTTTCCTATCAACTTTGATTTTGCATTTCGCTCTGGTGGACATAATCCATATTTGCGTAATCTGGCTAACTTTAGCAGCCGCAGAGAAACTGATCAGAGTTACTGACAACACGACACAATAAAGCATTCCGCACACCACAAGGATAGAAAAATTTCCCGAATTTGCAGCAACAATTGAGGCAAAGCCTGCCAAAACTTGAAATAATGGACAGAGTAGAGCCATCAGCAAGAAAATTCTGTCCCTTATGCTAGAATTAAGAGTTTTCTCATATATCTGAATCTTTCGATAGACAGAAAACTGATTTTCGACAATGTCAGGACTTTCTATCAAAGTTTTGCAGTCTAACCACAACCGTGATATGGCTGGGGGTTGGAAAAATACTCCATAGTAAGCTCCTGCAATAGTACCCATGCTATACAGAACGAATTCTATAATGGCAAACCCAAGCTTTATTTTTTTGTCAAAAATCCATTCCATGTTGTCAGGACGACAGAATAGAGAGGATAGGAATGGTGGTAGGCATGGGGAAATCGCTACCACAGCGGCCAGCAGAAGCGGGACGACAATCGAAACTACTAAAATGCCATTGAACATAAGAGCCAAGCAGATGAAGATGATTGTTTCACGTTGCGGCGTAGTTGTAATTCCTGGGCAAAAATTCGCACAAAAGTTAAGGTTAAGCAGGGTTCAGAAAAAATCATTAATTGGTAAATTTTAGACAAGAATGTAATTTGATTTTCTAGTTCAGGCTGTAAACAAGCTACTTCTGTCACATAAGCTCACCCTCAAAACCTTCACGTTACATAATTCCTAAAAAAAACTTTGCGGTCGTCACGTTTCAACCGGCCACTGCTTACCTTTTCTATCCGCAATGGAGTTCCAAATCTGGGCAGGAACATTATCCCTCCTAAGGTCAAGGTGCCACATGAAGCCAATAAAGCAACCAAACGTTAACGTAATTCCCATTGCTAGCTGAGCCAGAGAGGCCGCCCTCGTCGCCATTGAGATCACCTGGCAAACTACTTGGAATAATTGAACTAACATCCAACAATAATTTATACCCTGGTTTAATTTACTTGCGGGAACGATCTGATTTTTCTTTGAATCATATGTTACAAAGAGGCATTTATAAAAGTCTGCCATTTTGAACAATTTCTTGGTGATTGGAACTATTTTGTCCATCTTGCTGGCAGTTTTAGTATAGTTGCAAAGAAGTTTGATTGCAAAGTGTGACTAAATGCCGATGCTGTCAAATTTATTGTAATAACTATCCTGCCGATTTCCCGGATGGAGTCCTTAAAATATTAATTGATGTTTGCTTATTTACATTTCTTACTTTACAAGCTTTGTGCATTGATCCTATCCACGTGAAGTAACAAAATGAAAGAAAAATATCGATCGATTTATTATTTAATCTAAGGGCGTATATTTTCACTCACATACAGGAGAATCAAGCATGTAAAAGATATCAAGATACGTGGAGGATCTCTCTCCATAAATACGTAATTTCGTCGCATGAATATATAAAACGAAAGTCGTGCAAGCTTGATCTGGAATGTTCTAGAAAGGTTCGAAGTGAGAATAAACTAAAATTCCATAGCATTTCTACGTCAAAGTCCGCCGACCATATAGTCAGCGGTGGCGTACTCAACTTAAGCGGCTGTGGCGGTGTGACACGGCGTCACATAAAAAATGTTCGCTGGCGGAGAACTCTGTAAACATACTTAATACAATGAATTTTTCTTAAAAAACAGTTAACAAAATTGTTTACTGATCTGAATAAGGCGAGAACTTTAAAGAATGGAAGGAAAGCATAATTTAAAATAATGAATTTCATTATAGAGGCATTGTAAGATTATGTTCTCCTTGTTAAAATTATTAAGCAAAGAATCTGATAGTTAGTTTATGGTTCCAGCGGCAAATATTGAATTTAGCGGCGCGCCAGAAATTTTCGTCGGCGGCGGCGGGGTGGTTTTTATTGTCGGCGTTGGGGACGACGGTAGTGGCAAAAGATGTATTTTCATAAGTTATTCACCTTAAATTTGATTAAATTTATTTAAAGCGATTGACTGGTGACTTATTGATTTAAGGTTACACTTTCCACCTTAACTTCGTTATGTAACGTATTTGTAAATTTTTCGAAATACAGTAAACTGGATCTGCGTTTGACTTCTAATTCTTGTCTAATTTTCCAAATAAAATTCTATTAAATTCAAATATACGTATGAATAGATTACCATTAATGACCTTATCAATTGGGACGATTTTAGATCGATATCAGCAACAAACTCACAACATGATCTATCACAAACTGAAAAATAACCAATGGTGTCATTTGATCCAAAAAGTTTCCGGAGTTTCGTACTAGTAATTCCCAAATTTTCTTAAACGCCACTTGAGTATTTCTAGATAGGCTTGTGTTGTCAATAACAAAGTAAAGTTTTTTATTTCCTGCACAGAATATTCTTCTCCAATTGACAAGTTTGAAACCCGTTATTAAGTATTTAAGTTGGAGTTAGAAACGTGGAGGAAATTTAAATATGTCGGAATTATGTAGACTTAATTATTGGTCATATTCATGGTACTCCTACGTAAAATAATTTTTACACATTAGGCTAAATTTCATTTGGCTACATTTCGAAATGTATGTATAACAAATCTATAGTCTGGGCAAACAGATTATAACCTGCTAACAAAAACCCCTCTTCAGTACCTGTAGAAAATGAAATATCAACTTATTCTCATAATTTCCCTGTTTAACCAATCGATTCAAGCTATTTTACAAATTGGTAACATATTTAATTCTTGTGATCTTCACTTCGTCACAACTAATGATAAATGTCAAATCTCCCCATCGCTATAAGAAGTGCTCACCCGCCATACCAATTACTCGCCAAAACTAGTCGGTGCGATAAATCATCCTGTTAATACTTCTATCCCACATTTCTACAGATTTCGAACCCTCCTCGTCTTCGTGGATCTTACCGAATTGGCAAATATGGTGAAAACTGCCTATTTTCTATGGGCCGTATTACGACGATCTCCCGCCCCTGACTACATATTCGCACATGTCGACAATCCTCATAACCCCAAAATTATTTACAAGCAATACTTTGTAGGACGAAGCCCTTCAAAATTAGTCCTTTTCAGCCTCAACTACCCCCAATCGGTGTTTATACCATGCTTACTCCGTCCTTCAGAGGGAGGTACGTTCATTGAAGAAAAACTAACCCTGCAGTTCACTCCCCGTCAAATTGATGTAGCATGGGACGCGCAAAATTTAAATCTTCAGGGGAACACAGTGAAATACCGGAGTTCCAAACTTCTCCAACAAGAGGGTGACTGCACCCCAGTGTTAAGAAATTTCCTTACCATTTATTCATACGAGTTTTGTCCGCTGTTCATTCTCCGGCAAAAATTTAACTTCACTTATTCCCATTGGAGAGTACCTAACAAGATTGAGGCCAGAGACACGATCGGGACTATAAGCTTCAATTCGCTTCTTTCCAATGGAACCCTGGACCACATTCTAAAACAGAATTATGGTCTGTATGGAGTGCATTTTGAGAAATTCGAATTTTCCGTCGTAACCGTATTTCCTTCTGTGACCAACGACTTTGGCAAATTTCTGTCGCCCTTTGACACAACGACGTGGATTCTTTTAGTAGCTTCGTGCATCACAGTTTCAGGTTTAGTTCCCATTTCGGTTTTTACTTGTGGATTCAGTTATTCAGTTATTAGTTGGAAGGAATACGTTACAAACGCCCTTTTCAAGGTTTCCGTCATGCTCTTGGGGCAAAGTGAGAATGGGCGTGGTGCAAAGTGTAAAGAACAGGTTTCATCTCGCCTCCCAATTATTACGCACACACCACAACAACGACGACGATCGTCTCATCTTCCTCATCACCACCATCAATGCAGTCAACCCCCCATAAACGGAACTTCACAAAAGATATTTGCGAATAGACGTGTAGCAATGATTATATCGACCATTTGGTTGTTTGCATGTTACATTCTTATGGAAAACCTGTACCAAGGAGCAATGTTTTCATTTCTGAATCGTTCCTGAATTTCCCAAGGTCCCGCGAACCATGGAAGAGCTCATGTCCTCCAAACTTCCCGTTTTAACGACTAGCCCGTTCGGATTTTATAGCGATGGCAAGAACGGATCGGTGCTAACCACATATGATTCCACCCTGAAGGGAATTATAATCCCACAGTTGAAGATTAATGCAAGTCGTGCTTATCGAAGGTCACTCGATTCCTTGGATAAGAGAATTTCCTATATCAGCCACATAAAAAACTCGGCTGAAGAAATAATTCGAAATATTTCAGATTCAAAATCTCTCCGGAAACATTTTAAAACTAGTGAAACCTTTGCAATAATGAATTCTGCAGATGATTTAGGATATTTTATGGAGCCGATAAGATTTTTGGGTAAGCGGTTTGTCATCGATGGTCGTGGTGGTGAGTTAGGGTTTCGAACTACCACTGTAATGAACGGATATAGAAATTTCATATTTCCCCCGTTTTACTCGACCTACATGAGACTGGTGGAGTCGGGGTTGGTTGAGACATGGCATTATTTAGTCAGGTTATCAAGTCAACTTAAAAAAATGGGGAAGCGTGGGACTGAAACGTTTAAAAAGTATTATGCTCAAATTAATAGTGGTGTTAAGTTTCAGCCAGAATTTGATGAGTTCGCCCTGGTCTCCTTGGATGCTTTGAAGAACGCGTTTGCCTTGTGTGGGGCAGTTTTGCTGGTGGGTGTGGTCAGTTTTATGCTCGAGTGCAGGGGGAAAATTGCCAAGATTTCTGGCAGGGTGAAGGGAATTGTGGGCGATTTTATGACAAGGGGAGTGGAAGGGTTTCGTAAAGTGGTTAAAGATTTGAGAGTGAATATCGGTCATAGGATTGCCTAGGTTCAAATTCAAACTTACGTGTCTTTATTGTTATTGGTTTAGTTGATTTCGAATTTCAAGGATGTAAAGAACGATAGTGCGATTAGCCTCACAATCAAGTCAATATAAATATATATTTTCCTACGAGTTTTGTAAGATGTGGATGAGATATGTATGTATATACTTAATTTACATTTACTTTATTTCTATTTTGTCATGAAAGATAAAAATGCTAGTCTCTTAACTTTGTAGATAAACCTAAAACTTTCGACTTTTAGTTCCAATAAAATCTTCATTAAAAAACCCTCGGGGATGACAGATTTCCAACTCGCCATTTGAATACACAGAAAACCGAGGTTGAGATGCAATAATTTAAATTACAGGGTCGCATACAATAGCACCGTGCTATTAGCACGTTATATATAATATATACTAGCCTATAAGCCCGTCCTAAAGACGGGCCACATGAAATTTTCTTGTTGCTAAGCAATTTTTTTATGTTGCTAAGGATTTTTTTTATGTTGCTAAGGAAATTGTTTTATATTGCTTTTTTTTTTTTTTTTTTTTTTTTTTTACATATATGATATTTCGGGTATTCCAACCCTTTATTTCACCAAAATAAAAATGTTTGTACATGAGACGATTCACTAACTAAAATTAAACTAAAAACATTTAGAATCGTACCACGCACTTAATTAATTATGGGATGCGTTTAAAGCTATTACTGATTTATTGACAAAAAAAAGAAAAAAGAAAGTGATTATCACAGAAAATATCACATTAAATAATTTTTAAGAAATTATTTAATTTCATAGACATGACAAGCCCACGAGGCGACTTTCCCCTGAAAAGATATCAGGAGCCGGTGTACCTCACCCCCGGAGTTTAATGGAGTTGGGACTCCTCCGGAGGAAGGCTTGTCATCCTAGACCCTAACCTGACCGAGCCAAAATGACAAGGAAAGCTGAAACGAAAGAGCCTCCCAACCCCGTATTTGCGCATTTTTAGAAATTCTTAGCTCTTTTAAATAGTATAGAGACAGGAACGAAGCCATCGTTTAAAATTAGAAGAAAATGTCAAAAATTATATATTTAAATTAAAATATTTTGATGGTGGTTTCTTCATGGGGAGGACTTTTCAATTATGCCGTCAGGGTTGGAACTAAGCATGTGCCTACACCCCTTCTGCTTGAGGACCACGGGTTTTTGGTGTTTAAAATAATTACAAATAGCCCGAGAATATTGAGAGGAGAAAGTTTATGCAACATTTATGTGAAAATTAAAATTAACCTATCCTTATGATAAAAGTATAAATCATGCAATAAGTCATGCAAGAATAAATCAGTGGCAGAGTTTTGTGCATGGAGTAAAGAAAACATACATAATTGAAACGAAGTTAAGCATACTTATAAGCTAGATTATGCAAAATTGAGATTAATTAAAATTTTGTTATTATCAACCTTGTACATTTTGTATTTTTTCCATTTACGATGGAAATTATTTACAAAAACTCTGCCACTTCTCATGCTGACATGATATTCAGTCAATAAACGACCGAAGATCATATGCCGAAGATGAGCCAGAAAATCAAACTGATCATCAAAATTATTTAGAAAGAGGACATACGACTTGTAGGTAGTGCAAAGACCATAAAAAATTAAAATATTGCCCACTCTGTCTTTGCACCCGTTTAACACATACAACTTGAGACTCGAGGCAGTTAGATTGTTACCTAAAATCTTAAAGATAAAGCGCCACATTGGCTCAAAATGTTCGCAAAATGGATAATGACTTGAGTTAATATTTTTAAAATTACAGAAGGGGCAATCCCTTCCCTCTCTCAAGTTCATAGCGTCCGCCAATTTGGGAGTCAAACCAGTCTTGTGCCAGATCTTGTACACTATGTCTTTTTCTGGATTGGTGACCTCCGCCCTTTTTAACTGTTCCCATCGATCAGCATTTATGATCTCAGGGTCAGCCATAGGCCAAGATATTTTTGAAGCCACAGGGGTACACACCAGGTAAAGTGTTGCTTTGGTAATTACTTGATAATTTTCAGAACTGCCAAAATTGCGACACTGTAAAGTCGCCAAGTCAGATATTATTTGCGCATCAAGTACTTGACGCAAAGTTCTCGACTCTGCATCAGTGAGACGCTTTGATGGAGGTCTGGTTTGACTAAGGCGAGGATTATGGGTCAGAAAATCACCAACAGTAACGTAACCCGATTTTACCAAGTTTGGGAAAGTTACATTGTTGAAAAAAGTGGTATTTGAAAGGGAGATTGAGTGTAGTAGGTCCTCAGTTACATTTTCAAACCTAAGCCCCACAGTTTTAACAACATTACTCAGGTTATCATAAAAAGGGGAGGAGTCATCGGGCTTATTATCGGTCAAAATATTTAAAATATTTCTATGCCCATACGCACAGAAATATAAATCTTGAAAATTTATCAATTTATATTGCTAAGAGATTTTTTTATGTTGCTAAGGATTTTTTTATGTTGCTAAGGAAATTTTTTTATGTTGCTAAGGAAATTTTTTTATGTTGCTAAGGATTTTTTATGTTGCTAAGGAAGTATCATTTGGAGTTAATCTAAAAAATACAATTGCCAGAATCCATAAGTTTATCGACAGCATAGGTGCGCAGCCTCCGACTTCCGGAGGTCGGAAGCAGCTTCCGGACGTCGGAAGCAGCTTCGGGACGTCGAAAGCGGCGATTTTTAGTCGGAAGCACAAACTTTGGTCGGAAGCGGACGCCGGAGGCGGAAGCTGTTGGAAGCTGCGCACCTATGATCGACAGGAGGTACGTTTAGTCAAATCAAATTGTAACTGACTAATAACAAATTTATTTCCATTCCACTCATGGTCCATTTTATTACCATTTTATTGCAAATGCATGTTTTATATATTATTGTGGATAATTTCTGTCATCCTAATGTATATTTTCATCTATATTCATATATATTCGGGTAAAGCATTATCTTATTTACAACTTAAAATAAATTTCCTAAGTACTTAAGTTATTTTTTCAAGGAAAATTTTAAAATTTCATGGATTATTAAATTCTCGTATTTCATAACTAGATTGACAAAGATCTCCACCCGAATTTGGCATTGATACCAAATTTTTTAGTTTGGGATATTACATGTCCGAAATCGGATCGGATTAGACCATTGTTTCACAAAACTATGCAAAACATTGAGTCAAATTGAGTGAACAAAGTTCCTGAAGCATATACCTAGTTATTTAAATTCTGATAGTAAACACATTGTTAATTGTGTTTATAATGTGCTTTATCATATGGTTTTTATAATTCATCCATAAAAAACCACGAAGTACTGCTGGTTGTTATGCACATCCGGTCCGATTCTATGAATTCGATTCTCCGATTCTAGGAATTACAAGTTAAGACATTTTTACGTCAAAAGAACTGTGCACTTGGTTAGTATTACAGGGGAGTTGAAATTTAGTATGAATCGGTCACTCGCATTTCTATAACGGGCAATATACAAACAAACAATAAAACAGCCTACACACCAAGAATCCGGTCAGGAAGTCTGTATATGTGTATACGCAACGAAGCCAGTAACCAGAGAGGGTTGAATGTACCCTTCACGTGTTTCTGCTCGCAGGGGTATCCAACAACTAGACAAACGCAGCCAGTAGAAAATTCCCTCTCCTACCAGCCGGTTTGAGTCACAAAACGTAAGTTTTTTGTTTTTAAAGGCTGAAATAATTTCCACATTACCCTACTAAAATTTAGTTAATTAATTGCTACAAAGGGTTCAACGCCGACCCTACTGCATTAGATTACTCCTATCAACAAGCATTTCATGTAAGTATACATAGTAAATCGATTCCGCAATTCTATACTCAAAGTTTGTAACTTTTTATTAAGGGGTGAAAACCCTTTATACGATCGTTATGTCCGTCCGTCCGTTTGTCCGTCTGCCCGTTGGGCCAATAACTTTTGAACGAAACGACATAGAGACTTGATATTTTGAACGTAAACTTTTAACGGCAAGGGACAGGACGGGTTCGGATATGGACACTGTGACATCGTCATCTGTGAAGATGACGTCGTCACAGTGACGAAAAGTGATGAAAAAGTGTCACTTGTCAGTTTTGGCATGTGACACATCATTTATAGTTAATTTGCGGCGACGAATTCAATGGTGACCTCCATTTCGACCTCGGCGGTCACGAAAGGTAACTTGAAGGTCGCAGAAAGGTCACCAACTGTTAAATTTATTACATATATCAATTTGATCTGAAATTTAACCCTGAATTCAATCGTGGGTTTCATTTTGACCTGAAACGTCACAGACTGGTCATTAACAGTTAAAGTTGATAAATTTGTCAGAAGCGTTGGAAAAACATTAGGCATTTAAATTTTAACATATTTTGAATGGACAAACACAATAACATTTAGTACATCATATTATGATGTTCCGGTTGAAGGATAACAAGCTACTTTCACCCCTTGGTTACATTCGTTATAACGATTTATTTACTTTCCCTTTCTATTTTTGAATCCAGCGCTATGGCAAAGCTAATTGCACTATTTTTGAATTGCATTTCATTGCGATTTTATTTTATTTCATTGAAATTTTAATGCTTTAATTGAATCAGAGCCGTTGCTTAGATATGAGAACATTTTTTTATTGAAGCATAATTACTTATGCGCAACGACTGCTGAATGGCGAGGATATTTTGTAGGATGGTGACATGAAGGGATTATTAATATTGGAAAAAATAATTGTGCTTAATTTGTGACGGTCAATGTCCTCCCGCTTCTGCTGCCTGCCAATGATTGTATGCATAACACACAGTGTTTCGTTTCTTGCGGGGTTGCTTAATTTCTTGCACTACAAAGCAAGAAAGGCAAGAAATGCAAGGTGCACGAAACTGCAAGAAATGTAAGAAACACAGCGCCCTCTAGCGGCGCGCCCTAATAATTACAGCGGCGGGAAGGAGTTTCTTACACCTTGCATTTCTTGCCGGTAAAAAATAGCTGCAAGAAACCATTTTCTTGCAGTTATTTCTTGCAGGTGGTTACTTGCATGCGAAACACTTATAATACTATTCCCAAATTGGGGCTAACTCGTTTTTCTTTAATTATAGCCCATCACGTTTCGACTTGGCATCATGGGGAGCAAGAAAAATCTGATGAAGGAAGTTAATAAAAATCATTTACCCAAGTCAAAGCGATTAAAACTACAACAAGCAATTGAGGAATCGGCCCGACAAGAACACAAGAGACGTCCTCGCCTCAGAATATCGAGAGTAGTGGAACAGATCAACCAGACCAAAGGGGATTGGAGGCACGAAAAGTCAAAACTATTGTTCATGCTGGGCCTTGGACTAACGCCAATCCCGAACTCGATCGCAGTGATATTTCCGTCAATTCTGGTGCCGATGACGCTGCTCAAGTCTAAGTCGCTCTCTGCAGATAGTGAAAAAGCAAGATATTTCAAGGGGAAAAAGCTAATAAGCGCGCAAAGAGTTAGGCGGTTTGAAATATTGCGGGAATGGCGTTTACTAGTACCCCCAAAAATATATGGAGACGTCGAAGTAATTGATTTGACTGATGATGACGATGTTGATTTAATTGAAACGTTTCAGAGCGATAGCTTAGTTACATCGTGTTTCAAAAACGTACAACTTCAGGACCCACCACCACCACCGATATCAAATATATTAATTTCTAAAGTTAAAAAGTCTCGCGGTTTCTGTGATCGTTATCCTCTTATGCAGATTAATACAGTTTTGAAATGTCAAAAATTGAATGTCAAAAATTCAGAGAATGTTTGTAAATGAAGAGAAATTATGATTAAAATTATCAGATTGAGAGTAGGAGATCGATGCTGGACCTTATCTAGAGTTGTGTTTGGTTTTACTTCTAAATCCTAAACTTTATAAACATATAGATATATTTGACGCACATAACCTACGGTTGCCCGGCAGTATTAAAAAAGCATGAATAATTAAGAAAAAGTGAATATTTATGTACTCACTTCTAAAGTCTATGCATATTTCATCAGAGTAGTAAACAAGAATGAACATCAAAGGAAGGGACATGCCAGTCCGATATATATAAGATGGTCATGCGGCTGCTAATGCGGCAATATTTTTAACTTTGGCATTGCAGATAAACATGGAATGCAAAGAAAGTCGAAATATTTCCCCACTGGGAGCCGAATGCCCAAATCCTACTTCGGGTTTATCGGAAAAATAATCTTGACGTTTGACCTGTCTGTGATATCAAAAATCGACGACGAGGAAATTAACCCCAGATACTATCTAGATTTTTGGACGGAGTTTTAAATTTTTAAATTACGAGATCATGTCGATATAAAGAAAATACGATCGTATCATTAAATAAGTTACATACTGTACATAACAATACCAGGGTTTAAATTTAGTAAAGAGCTTTCTGAAGTCAAAATCAATCCTATGTTGAATAGCTTTGTGATAGATATCATCTTGCGCATCATTTAAAAAACGACAGAGGAGTACGCAAGTACTTGAGTACAAGTTTGTGTAACCGATCCTAAAGAAAGAGTTTTGGTAATAAACAAGTTGTTACCTGAACCAGAGGTCGACGCCGACAAATTTTCGGCGGCGGCGCCAGTTTTTGGTGATTTCTCGGCGGCGTCGGCGGCGCCAGTTTTTGGTGATTTCTCGGCGGCGTCGGCGGCGCGGCGAGGCGTCGCAATGTTAAAGGGATAGAAAATCAAATTTTTCGGCGGCGGCGGCGCATAAAATGTTACCGGCGTTCGATCGGCGGCGTCGACCTCTGACCTGAACTCTTTCCGTTTTATATTTTCGAAGGTTAGAAATTCGGCGAGTTTCTAACCTTATTTCTCGTTTTTGCAGGCCGGTATCTGTGCAGTCATTTGATAAAAATAAATCATCTGATAATCCAATTTAACTGACTTTAAAGATTTTCATTAAGCAGTCCGGCATTTCATAAATTATTCAAAGAGTCCAGAACGTCAACTTTTTAGTTTTTATAACACCCTTGGGTCTTACTAGGGATACCCTTTCTATGATAGTTGAAAAATGAGTTCTAATTTAACTTTTCGTATGCACCATGATATATTTCGATTACAAAGTGCAAAAATTTTTCTGCAAAACCAATTTGCTAATTTTTTAATAGCCTTCAAAGTTGGCGAAAGTGGGGGTGGAATAGGCAGAGTGGGAGTGTGTGGAGATGGGGGCGGTCGTATCCCTCGCTATACACTACCACCACCTGTTACGGTAATTATGATCTGGTTATTTTTCGCGACACAATTCTATGTTTAATCTTAAAATTATGGACCCAAGTTGAACTAGGTTTGAATGGCAAAGATAATTCTTTAGATTTTATAATTCTCCAGCGTTTTATATCCACTTCACCAATGTGTATTAGAGATTCTCTTGCAAAATTAAATCTTTCGAATACAAAATCTTCTATATCTTTTAACTTCTTCAGTTTGTTGCCATTCTAGTCGATGTACGTCTTCATCCGAGAAATTGTTGCATAAGTTGATATTTTAAGGAAACGTCGTCTAGTTTTAAACAATTTATTTGACTTAACACTGTCGTAAAACTTTAAATCTTTATCCTTTCTTCGAGATTATAATTATTATAAACTATTATTACTTTCAATCTCCCATGCGATGATGATTCTTCGGAAATTGTGTCGGTTTGAGCTGCACTGTCACCGTAAATGTCAATTTCATCGTCACTGGAAATTTCCAATGCATCGAGCGTTTCACATGTACTAGTTGAAAAATTAAGTAAATTTTTTAATAAAATCAGTCCTTCACTTGCTAAGTCGTTAAGATTTAAGCCACTGTCAATTATCCAGCGGGTACTCCAGCGGTGTCATATTTTAGTTTTACTAATTCTAGTAACAATTGGCACACTTTAATGATTTTCGCCATATTTAGAGTGGTAATTGCTAATATGATTACTTAATTGAACAATTTTCAGAGAATTTTTAACAAAAGAGAAAGAGCAGATGACTAAAATAACAATAGGATTTAAGTATTTGGTGCGCAAACTGGGCAAACTGATCTTACCACTTCGCACAATGCCATCAACATGCATCAATTTTTTTCATTCACTTAACTAAATTTTCTTACAATTAATTAAATTTCAAGTAAACATAAGTTACTAAATTTATCAAACATAAGTTACTGATGGATTTCCTTGTGTCACACAGATAATAATGACCGTCACAGGTGGTTAATGTATAGTGGGGGGCACGACCGCCCCCATCTCCACCCGCTCCCACTCTGCCTATTTCGCCCCCACTTTCGCCAACTTTGAAGGCTATTAAAAACTTAGCAAATTGGTTTTGCAGAAAAATTTTTGCACTTTGCAATCAAAACATGTCATGGTGCATGCAAAAAGTTAAATTAGAACTCATTTTTCAACTATCATAGAAAAGGTATCCCTAGTTAGCCGAATTCGATAGATCGATCTATTTTCATGTAGTATCAACGACATGCAATCATGCTAACTAAATCAAGAACATATGTACGTATTATATATGTCGGCATATATGTACCTATGTATCAACTTTAAATATTTTAAGCCTGGTGTTTTCTTACCTTTACATATATTAAGGCTAATATTTTTAATAGGTCTTTACTTACAAGGGGTGTGCTACCCTTGTAACCTCCTGATTTTATTGCACCATGTACATACAATTCCACACATTTATCTAGCACAAATAATTTTTAGTTAAAAACTCGGCCCAATAAGCACAAATCGCCACTTTTTTAAATTTAAGAATAAAACGGAGTCCATTCCCCTAACGGAGTAATTGTACAGATTGAATGACATGAATCCATCAACTTTCCAGTGGAAAAGGCAACGGTTTCTAATTCACAATTTAAAAGGTACTGGTCCGATTTTTGAAATTATGTGTATTTAGTAGATATGTTTGTGGGACAATATATTTTGCAAATAAATCTGACAAGAACAATCATGGTGCACTCGTTGTTAGTTGTCTTGGCTTTATTCTATTTTACATGAGTCGAATCCGACACCATAGACGATACATGGATATGTACATATTTATGTATTAATTTCTTACCCATTTTCTAGTTATACGCCAATATCAAACGGTCAACACTGCTCGGAAGTCGTACTTTTATTCAAATTTCCGCTTCATTCTTTCCTTACCAGCTTTGACATATATTTTTTCACCTTAAATCTTTGCAGTCTGAAACTTCATTTGATTATGTATGTGTCTTCTTGTACATAACTATTCTAGTTTCGTATTACCTATGTTTTCCATATATTTTTCGATCAAGTCGTGAAATCCAGAAATTTTTTATTACCTTAAACAATGGGGGGATTAAATCGTGTCTGTCTGACTTTTTTGTGTTGCACCGTGAATTTTACTTTTATCGAGACAAGTGTACTATTACCGATTATAAATCTGGCTCATGTTCTATCGCCCCACACGACTTGTCGATATCACCTCGTCTTCAACCTTATTTCTACGTCAAACTTACCAACTACCCGTGATGTCCCTCTTACGCTGACCAATAGACCCTTTCTACTGGATATTGTTCCACCTATCCCACCCTTCAATAACCCCACACAACTCGATATCCTCAAAAATAAAGGCTGGCTGTGCGAATTTGTCATTTTATTTGTCACCATAAAGTCCCAAGATTATACTCTTCATCACCAAAAATCGTTAGGATATTGGGTAACCGCTCAAGGTCAACACCATTTGACATTAAACAAAAACGAAATCTGGATGCCAGAAGTTTATCCAGACTGTTTTTATTTTTTCTTAATTCCAAGTCACCATAAAATTTTGGAAGTCCACATGCATTCCGCGCTATACAGAAGACCTTATCATGTGTACAAAATGCTACCGGTGAAATTTGCAGTGTTGCTATTTCTCGCAAAAAATAGGGTGAAATTCTGTTACCAGAAAATTATTCCAGTTCTACAAAGTTTTAAATGCACTGCTACAACTTTAAGTAAAGACGCAAATTTGGTCGGTCCCTTCAACTACCCGACTATATTTGACCAGCACTGGATCGCTATAAATGAAGATGATGGCTCATATCCCATCCCGAATGTATTGTTTGCTGCGGCACTGAAGAAACTTAATGCAACCTTACAAAGACGAAGTAATAAGGACCCACGTGGTTCCCACAGAATCTTGCTTCTACTTTAGGACGCCTATCCTAAATCCAGCGAGTATTAGAGTGCCTTACTATAATCGGCAAATGGTCATCACAGCGTATGACAGCTTTTTCTCTTGCTCGCATTATTCGAGGGGGGTTTCGTTCTCGCTGTATTTGGCTCCTTACGACACAATGTTTTGGATGGTTCTAATTTTCATGCTTTTACTCTCAGCGTGCAACGTTTCGTTAGGATTTTACTTGTTGAACAAAGAATTCCACCCGGTTAAAATATTCGTATACTTTTGCGGTCTCCTAATGGACGAGGTGGACCAGCTGCCAAACATTTTGAGTAATTTCCTTCCCCTTCGATGCATAAGTGTTCCATGGGTTTTGGTGTCTACAGTGATCATTAATTGCTACTTGGGTAGTGTTATCACAAATTTAAACGCACCCCTTCCAGGGGAACGATACGACACTTATGAGAAAATTACTTGTTCGGAAAAGTCAAAAATCAGTATTAATTACGATATGATCGAGAACCGAAAGGTGGCAATGGTTGGTAACTACAACGGAATGGGTTTTTCTACTTACCTGAGAAATTCGGTGGGATTCTGCTACACTTTTTTGTCAGAATTCGTACGAGACGAGAAAGATAATAATACCTTTTGGAAGTACAATTTCAGATTTATCAATTATTTTTACGGTATTAACGATAGATAA